TCAGTCAGTGTCACCAGTGCCACCTGTGTGTCACTCAGTGCCACCCGTGTCCCCAGGTAACCTGCGTGGTGAGGCAGGTCTGGCACAGTGAGGGGTCACTCAGTGTCACCAGTGCCACCTGTGTGTCACTCAGTGCCACCCGTGTCCCCAGGTAACCTGTGTGGCGAGGCAGGTCTGGCACAGCGGGGGGTCACTCAGTGCCACCCGTGCCACCCGTGTGTCACTCAGTGCCACCTGTGTGTCACTCAGTGCCACCCGTGTCCCCAGGTAACCTGCGCGGCGAGGCGGGCGCGGCGCCCCGTGCCCTGGAGGACGCGTTCCTGCGCCGGTTCCTGGCCGGGACGTTCCCGGGGCTGCTGGCGGACGAGGCGGTGCTGAAGCGGCGCGGGAACCTGCTGGTGATCTGTGCCCTGCTGGCGCGGGCCCTGCCTCCCCACAAGCTCTACTTCCTGCTGGGCTACGCCGAGACCCTGCTGGGCCACTTCTACAAGTGCCCCGTGCGCCTGGAGCTGCAGACCGTGCCCGCCCGCACACTGTCCCGGTGTCACACTGTCCCGGTGTCCCTGTCCCCGAGGTGACACGATGCCCCTGTCCCCGTGCCCGAGTTGACACTGTCCCGGTGTCCCTGTCCCCGGGGAGGTGTCCCTGTCCTCGGGGTGTGACACTGTCCCTGTCCCGGTGTCCCTGTCCTGCTGTCCCTGTCCTGGTGTCACTGTCACGGTGTCCCTTGTCCCAGTGTCCCTTGTCCCTGTCCCGGTGTCCCTGTCGCGGTGTTGCTGTCCCCAGGATGTCCCTGTCCCCAGGGCTGTCCCTGTCCCCAGGGCTGTCCCTGTCACGGTGTCCCTGTCCCCAGGGCCGTCCCTGTCGCGGTGTCCCTGTCCTGGTGTCGCTGTCACGGTGTCCCTGTCGCGGTGTCCCTGTCCCCAGGGCTGTCCCTGTCCCCAGGGCTGTCCCTGTCGTGGTGTCCCTGTCGCGCTGTCACGGTGTCCCTGTCCCTGTCGCGGTGTCGCTGTCCCCAGGGCTGTCCCTGTCGCGCTGTCGCGGTGTCCCTGTCCCTGTCACGGTGTCCCTGTCCCTGTCCCTGTCCCCAGGGCTGTCCCTGTTGCGGTGTCCCTGTCCCTGTCGCGGTGTCGCTGTCCCTGTCCCCAGGGCTGTCCCTGTTCCTGTCCCGGTGTCCCTGTCCCCAGGGCTGTCCCTGTCCCCAGGGC